GCCCCGCTCCCTCCCCGCAGACCCGGCCCAGCGCCCTCAGCCCCCTCCCACAAAGGCCCGCGCCTCCCTCCGTCCGCCGATTCCCGCTGCCCCAAACTCAACCGACCCCCTCCCTGCCTCCGCTCCGGCCCCGAGCCCTCTTCCGGCCCAGCTGGCCCCCGGCCGCGCGCCCCCGTTACCGGGAATATGGCGGCGGAGGCGGCGAGTCGAGACTAGGCCCGAAGCGCGCGAACCGCTCTCGGCCCCCAGATCCCGCCTTCCCCCCCCACTACTTCGCCACGGGCGTCATACGCACAGCCACTTCCGCCATGCGCAGGGAAGTGTCTTCCGGCTCAGGACGCAGCTTCCGCCAGGCGGGCGTCCGGGAGTTCCCGGAAGTGGCTGGTCGTCGGCTTCCGGTACAGGCTGGGGAAAAATGGCGTTGGCCACGGTCTTCCCGGCTCTGTCGCGGGTGAGGAGAGGAAGTTATAGGGTTCTAGGAGGGCCACAGAGAAAGTTCTAGGGACTGAGTCTCGGCTTCCTCCGCAGTCTTGGAGACCGCGAGGAGCGTCCAGCTGCGTGATAGCCCAGGGCAAGGACAGACCCAAAAACAGGCCGATCTTGCAAAATTAGGAGATTGAAATCGCTGAAGTATGGTTGAGTGATTAGTCTTTCAGCGAGACCCAATTCAGATTTCACCTCTTGCCCTGGTGGAGCTGGCCCGACCACCTCCGGGCGCCCCTAATCTCTCTTCTTGTCTTTGTAATACCTAACATGATTTCACGTCGCATCCTAAGGTCTTTCTTCTTTTTCAATGTAGGTGTTACCACTGTATACTTCTTTCTTAGTACTACTTTTTGCTGCACCTGATATTTTATATGTTGTGTCTTTTGTCTCAAGGTATTTTCTAATTTCCCTTTTGTTTTCTTCTTTGACTCATTTGAACCAGGGTTAAGTGTGTTAATGTCATATATTTCTAAAGTTTCCAGTTGTCCTTTGGCTGTTAAGTTCTAGTTTCATTCCATTGTGGTCAGAAAAGGTCTTGTATAATTTCAATCTTCTTAGACTTGTTTTTGTAACTTAACATGCGATCTGTCCTGGAGAATGTTCCCAGTGTGCTTGAGAAGAATGTGTATTCTTCCTGCTATTGGGTGGAATGTTCTGTATATGTCCGGTTAATTGGGTCTGTAGTGTTGTTCCCTGTTTCTTTATTGATCTTTTGTCTGGATGTTCTGTCCAGTATTGAAAGTGGGGTATTGAAATCTATTATTGTGTTGCTATTTATTTAGGGCTATCAATGTTTGCTTCATATATTTGGGTGCTCTGATGTTGATTGCATATATATTTATAATTGTTATATTTTCCTGGTGAGTTGACCTTTTTACCATTATGTAATGTCCTTTATCTCATGAGAGTTTGACTTGAAGTCTATTTTGTCTGATGTGAGTAGGGGCATTCTGCTCACTTTTGCATGGAATATCTTTTTTCATTCCTTCACTTTCATCCTGTGTGTATCCTTATGTCTAAAATGAGTCTCTTGTAACAGCATATAGTTGGATCTTATTTTTTTAAAATCCTCAATGGAGGACATGCTTTTGATTTGAGAGAGAGGGGAAGAGAGAGAGAGAGAGAGAGAGAGAGAGAAACATTGATGTAAGAGAGAAACATCAATGTAAGAAACATCAATCTGCTGCCTTCTGCATGCCCCCTCCTGGGGATCAAGCCGAAACTCTGGCATGTGCCCTGACTGGGAATTGAACCCATTACCTTCGGTGGATGGGATGACATTCAACCAACTGAGCCATGTTGGCCAGGGCAGAAACCAGTTTCTTGGGCAGCTCCTTGAAAAAGCCAGGAATTTTGGATGCATGCTCCACTCTTTTTTCCCCTCTCAAGGGAGAGGCTGCCAAGTTGTATTGGCCTCTGTCTGCTGTACCATGGGTCCTCTGGAGCAGCATCAAGCCATCCAGCTCTCTTGTTTTCAGAGGTCCCCAGTCATGTAGAGTATGCTGGGTCCTACCAGTGCTCTGAGACAGGCAAAACAGAACCATTCTCTCAGATATCTTCCCAAAAAGCTGGAATGTTGAACATACATGTCAACTCTTACCTCCCCAGGGAGAAGCTAAGGAGTTGGGGGTTTTCCCCCTGCTTGTTGTGTGCTGAACCAGGGGCAGGGACCATGGTGAGTGGGTGTGTGCTAGTCCAAACCCTCACCTTTGTTCTCAGCAGTGCCCAACGTGTTGCCTTTTCCTGTCAGCACTTAGATTCAGAGAGGACAAAAACTAGTCGATCGGGCAGCCCCCTGAAAAGTCTCCATGTTGGACATGTTTCAGGCTTCTCTTCCCAAGGAGAAACCAGGAGCTAAGAATTTTCTTCACTTGCACCAGGCTGAGCCAGCGGGGAGGGACTATGATGAATGATTGTGAGGAATTGTCCTTCCAGCTTTGATGCAGCAGCTTTTGTGCTTGCCTGGGGTTTAGGGCCTCTTAACTGGCTTCTGGATTTCTCATAAAGGGAATTGATCCATGTATTGTGGAGTTGATGTCTCAGTGGAAGGAACGTGGGGGGGTTTCCCATTCTGCCATCTTGCTGACGTTATCGCCTGATCACATCTTGATCGTCTTTGCCTGTCGCTAGATTGGGAGCCCTTGGAGGATTAGGATCCATGCCAGCCCTGTATGCTCAGATTTTAACACAGTCAAGTGACTAGAATACAAACCACACCGTAAGGGAATGCATAGGAAGGAAAAAATATTTCTGCTGAAGAATTTCTGGAAGGACACTGGTTAAAAACATGTTTGCAGTTAGAACTAGGTTTCAATTTTTTTTTTTTAAATGTATCTTTATTGATTTCAGAGAGAGGAAAGGAGAGGGAGAGACAGAGATAGAAACATCAATGATGAGAGAGTCATTGATAGAGCCCGCAACCCGGGCATGTGCCCTGACCGGGAATCGAACCCCGATCACCTGGATCCTAGATCGACGCTCAACAGCTGAGTCACGCCTGGCCGGGCTAGGTTTCAATTCTAACTGCAGTTACTATTTGGGTGACCTTTGTAGGTTTTTTAACCTCTGTGAGCCTCAACTTCCAAGCTGTAAAGTGGGGTCAGTATCAGCATAACTTAAGGACTGAGTGAGATCAAATGCATTTAGTACCTAGTAAGTATTGAGCAGGTGACAATGATGTTATTTGATATTGTTAAAAAAAACATTTGGTTTATTTGTTTCAGATGCTTGCTCTGTCAAGGCAACACCTAGTGTCTCCTTTGCTCAGCATGACATCATTCAGCCGTTTCTACAGAGGTGGCAGCCCGACAGATTCCCAGAAAGATATGATTGAAATCCCTTTGCCTCCATGGCAGGAGCGAACTGATGAATCCATAGAAACCAAAAGAGCCCGCCTGGTCTATGAGAGCAGAAAGAGGGGAATGCTGGAGAACTGCATTCTGCTTAGGTAGGGAAACAGGAGTCTTAGTGTCACTTCTCTTTGACTGGAGACGGCCTTTTAACTTCTTTGTCTCTCTTTCTTGTTTTTAGCCTCTTTGCTAAAGAATATCTGCACCACATGACAGAGAAACAGCTGAACCTCTATGATCGCCTGATTAATGAGCCCAGTAATGACTGGGACATTTACTACTGGGCTACAGGTACTGGCAGGAAAAGCAATGTAATGTGAAAAATAGGATGACTTGGGCTGACTTAAGTTTGGAGTTATATCCTAGGCAATTTTTCCCCCTTTATTCATGCAAATAGACACTCTACCCAGCACTCTTCACATTTTTCTAAAGTATACAAAATTTGTTTGATTAGTTAAGGTTATTTGTTTGCAGACAATACAAGCCTATTCAGTATCACTTAAGCAAAAAGAGAATTTAGTGAAATTGTACAGGTATCAGAGGAAGGTTGAAGAAAAACTAGGCTAGGCATGGAGTGGAACCAGACAGCTCTATCGCCTGCATAGCAAGAGTTCCTCGGTAGTCTCATTCGGGCACTGCCTTTGTGAGGAATGAAAACTCACTGTGTAGAATTAGGATGAGTTTTGGCTGTGAGTAAAAAAACCCAAAACAGTAATGGCTTAAACAAGACCGAGCTCTATTTCTCATAACAGAAGTCCAAAGTAGGCATGTAGAAGGGTATTAAAGAGTCACAAGGTTGAGTCTTCTTGTCTTGCTGCTCCTTCACTCCCTACTTCGTAATTCAGGATGGTTGCTGAGGCTCTGTCTGGCGTGCCCATATTTCAGCTAGGAAGAAGCATGTAGAAGAACACGCCCCATTCTTTATGGATCCTTCTCAGGAAATGATACACCGTCTTCCACTTATTTTCCATTGGCCATAATTTAGTCAAATGGCTATACCTCACCATAAAGAAGTAATATAGTCAATTCCATGTGTCCAACTAAATTGGGGATTCTATTATCAAGGAAAAATGGGAGAATTGATATTAGGGGATATCTCACCCATTTCTCTCACACTCTGAGTCTCATGTTTTTCTGTTTCCTCTCAATATGCATCATAAAATAGAACCTATTTTGTAGGTTTCAAGTATAAAATGTGAAAGTGGATTGTGCTTTTGGTACCATGTCAAAGAACTTGCCTGATCTAAAGTCACAAAGATTTTCTCTCTTCTAGGAATTTTATAGTCTTAGAATCAGCTGTTTAGTTTCTCAAAAAAAAAATCCTGATTGGATTTTGATGGGGTTTGTGTTAAATCAGTAGATGAATTAGGAAGATTATTTTAGCAATTTAGAATTGTTTAATCTATGAACACACTATATCTCCATTTATTTGGGTCTCCTTTGAGTTCTTTAATCATTATATTACCTATTGCTACATAAAAAATTACTCTAAAACTTACTGGCTTAAAACACCCCATATTTATTATTTCATTATTTCTGTGAGTCTGGCATCCAGGCATGGCTTAGCTGGGTTCTGTCCTTCAGTCTGTTGCGAGGTTGCAATCAAGGTGCCATCACAGGGTCTGGGGTCTCATCAGGAAGCTTGACTAGGGGAGGATCTGTCTGCTTCATGCTCTCTCCGATGCTGGCAGAATTTAGTTCCTCACAGGCTCTTCAGTCCTTGCTGGCCGTTGCCTGGAAGCTGCCTCTTCCACATGGCAGCTTGCTTCCTCAAAGTGTGCAAACCAAGAAGGCAATAGAGAGAGTGTACTAGCAAGATGGAAGTGTCAGTGTTTTGTAACCTGATCACAGCAATGACATTCCATCATCTTTGCCATGTTCTATTGGTTAATATCAAGTCTTTAGCTCCAGCCACATTCAAGGAGGGGGGCTCACACAAAGGCATGATATCAGGAAGCAGAGGTCATTGGGGGCCATCTTAGAAGTCTGCCAGCTACAATCAGCATTTTACAGTTTTCAGCATATTTTGCTAGCCTTACAGCTAGGTATTTTATGTATTTTGGTGCCATTATAAATGGAACTTAAAAGTTGTTTTTTTAATTTCCCATTGTTGGTAGAATGTAGAAACACAATTGATTTTTGTATGTCGACTGTATACTGTGACCTTGCTAAACTCACTTAGATCCTTTTTTATAGATTCTTTGTGATTTCCTATGTAGACAGTTGTATAATATGTGAACAGAGGTGGTTTTCTTTCTTTTCCAAGCTGTATGCCCTTTAAATACTTTCCTTATTGCACTGTCTAGGACCTCCTGTATAATGTTGAATAGCAGCAGTGAGAACAGACATTCTTGCCTTGTTCCCAATGTTAGGGGGGAAATATTCTGTCTTTACCATTAAATATAACGTTAGCTGTAGATTAATTGTAAATGCCTTTTATCAGGTTGAGAAAGTTTCCTTCTGTTTCTAGTATATGGAGAGTTTAGTCATGAAAAGATACTGAATTTTGTCAGGTGCTTTCTAGGCATCTATAGAGACAATAATTTCTTTAGTGATACGGTTTTTTACCCCCTTTGGTTTATTGAGATGATGAAATTTTTTATTGATTTTCAGATATTGAACCAACCTTGCATTCCTAGTATAAATACCACATGGTCATGATATTGATTTGATTTGCTAACATTTTAGAGAAGATCTTGTATGTGAAGGTATTGATGTGTAATTTTTTGGGCATGTTATCATCTGGTTTTGATAGGGTAAGTCTGGCTTCATAAAATGAGTTGTGAAGTGCTCTCCCATTTTCAGGAAGAGTTTGTAAAGAACTGGTATTATTTCTTCCTTATGTATTTGATAGAATTTGCTAGTGAAGCCTTCTGAATCTGGGGTTTTCTTTGTTACAAGTTATTAACTGGAAAGTCAGAATTTTTTTTTTAATGCATATGTAACAATTCAAGTTATCTTATTTCTTCTTGGATGAGATTTTTAAATTTGTGTCTTTCAATAAATTTGCCCATATTACATAAGTTGAATCTATGAGCATAAAGTTGTTTGTAGTATTTTCTTTTTTATGGTATTTTAATGTCTGAGGTGCTGTGGTGAGGTCCCTCCTTTATTTCTAATATTGGTCACTTGTGGGCTTTTTTTTTTGATCAGTCTCACTTGGAGTTTATCAATATATTTTTTCAAAGAACCAGCTTTTGATCTTACTGATTTTTCTTTTTCTGTTTTCAGTTTCATTAATTTCTGCTCTTAGCTTTATTTCCTTTCTTCTGCTTGCATTGGGCTGAATTTGCTTTGCTTGCTAGTTCCTTGAGGTGGGAGCTGAGCTGACTCGCTTGAGACCTTTTTCACTTTGAGCATTTAAATGTCTGTCTGGGCGGGGAGGGAGGAGAGGGTAAAGGGGTGAATGGTGATGGGAGGAGACTGGACTCGGGGTGGTGAGCACACAATACAACATACAGAGGATGGATTGTGGAATTGTATACATGAGACCTATATAATTTTATTAACTAGTGTCTCCTCAATAAATTCAATAAATAAATTTTTAAAAATTTCTCTCTAAACACTGCTTGAGCTTCATATTACAGATTTGGATGTGCGTGCTGCGTTTTTATTTTCATTCAGTTCAAAATATTTGTTAATTTTTCTTGTGATCCTCTTTTACCCGTGAGTTATTTAGAAGTATGTTTAATTTTCAAATATTTCCAGGTTTTCCAGATATTTTTCTGTTATTTATTCCATTATGACAACATAATGACTTGTATAATTTCAGTTATTTTTTTAATTTCAGTTATTTTAAATTTCTTGAAATTTGTTTTATGGCCAGAAATGTGGGTATCTTGATAAATGTTCTGTGTGCATTTATTTGAACATAACTTGTGTTCTGCACTTGTGGGTGAAGTGTTTTATAGTTGCCAACTAGGTCAAGTTGGTTGATTCTGTAACTGTGGATTTGTTTATTACTCCTTTCAGTTCTCTCACTTTTTGCTTCATATATTTTGAAGCTCTGTTATTATATGGAGACGTGTTAGGATCATTACATCTTCGTGATGAATTGACTCCTTTATCATGATGTAATGTCTATCTTTATTGCTTTTAGTACTCCTTGTTCTGAAGTGTCTGATCATAATTTAGACACTCCAGCATCCTTTTGATTAGTGTTTGCATGGTATGTGTTTTTCCATTTATGCTAGTTTTCTCTTGCTGTGTAGTAAATTACCACAAACTTAGTGGCTTTAAACAACACCTATTTATTAGCTCATGGTTATATAGGTCAGAAGCTGTGCCCAGATCTCACAGTCCAAAATCAGAGTCCTGTTTTATATTCCTGTCTGGAAAGTCATTCAGGTTGTTAGGAGTGACTTGTAGGACTGAGATCCCGATTGTCTTGTTAGCTGTTGATCTCTTTCAGCTCCTAGAAGCCACTCTTAGACCTTTGCCCTGTGGCCCCCTCCATCTCAGCGATGGAGATCCTCCCTCATATGTAGTCCCACTCATGTGTCAAAACTATCTGATTTTCCCTTCTGTCACATGCTGGAGAAAACTCATAGAGCTCAATAGAGCTCATGTGATGAGGTCAAAACCACTTGGATAATTTCCCTGTCCCAAGGCCAACTGTGCCGTAGGAACATAACCTAATCCCGTTCACAGCCGTGGCGGTTGCACGAGGCTCGTATACCAGGCGAGTGGGAAGTACTGCGGCCAACTTAGAAGTCTGCCTGCCGCACCGTGCTTTTACTTTAAACTAAACTTCTTGTAGACAGCATATATAGTCTTTTTGTCCAGTCTTAAAATCTCTTTTTTTATATTGATATGTTTTGGCCATTTACATATAATTATCAATGTGACTGCATTAAAATCTACCATCTCTTTGTTTCCTGTTTCTTCCATCTGTTCTTTGTTCCTTTTCCCCTCTATTTCTATGGGACTTTTAAATTTAGTATTTTAAATTTCATCTTACTCCACTGTTGGTTCATTATTTATACCTCTCTCTATAACTTTTTAGTGATTGCCCTAGGATTTGCAGTATACATCTTTAATTAATCACAGTCTGTCTTCAAGTAATGTTATACTGCTTCATGTTTAATGTAAGAACTTTACAGTAGCATGCTCCAGTTCCTCCCTCTCGTCTTTTGTGCTGTTGTTGGCATACTTTTTATTTTTACTTATGCTGTAAACATTTGTATTGCTTTACTTTAGACAGTTATCTAAAGAGCAATTTAAAATAAGGAAAAGAGTAGAATACTTTAGAAATTATAACTTACATGTAGTATCTTATATGTAAACATGGGTAATATATACATAACATTTACATTTTAACGTATAAAGTACATTATGTATATTATATATTTTAAATATATATTTTTTTAGACAGAGAGGAAGGGAGAGGGAAAGAGAGAAACATTGATGAGAGAGAAACATCGATCGGCTGCCTCCTGCATGGCCCCTACTGGGGATAGAGCCCACAACCCAGGCATGTGCCCTGACTTGGAATCGAACCGGTAACCTTTTGTTGCTCAGGATGACTCTCAGCCAACTGAGCCACACTGGCCAAGGCTAACATACATTATATTTTATATTTACCTTCACTTTACTGGTCTGTGGAGTCTTCATTTCTTTATGTAGATCCATCTTTCTATCTGGTATTCCTGAAGAATTTCCTCTAATATTCATTGTAGTGCAGATTTGCTATTATGAATTCTCTCAGCTTTTGTCATATTTGAAAGCTATTTTCACTGGATATAGAACTATAGGTTCAGCTTTTCTTTCAGCAATTTATAGAGGACGCTATTTTTTGCTGGGGTGCTAGTGCAAAGGATTGAGTCTGTCTGCTCAGTTGAGCCGGATTTGGGTTGTTGCTTTGGCTGCCTTCATTTACCACCAGCTTCAAATTCCTCCATTGTTACCATGTGCCTTTTCTGGTTTGCCTAGTTTCTGACACAAGGTCTGCTGTCTTTGTTCCTTTGTATATATCTTTTCTTTCTGAATGTTTTCAGCATTTTATCAAGGAGATTTGGGTTCCCCCCTAGGATGTTGAAAGTTAGAAAGAACATTGCTCTCATCCTAACAACAAGAAGCCAGATAAACTATAGGCATCAGTTTTCTTGAAGTCATTAGTAGAGCAGGTGTTTGTAGCTTATCTGGCTTCTTGTTAGGATGAGAGCAGTGTTCTTTCCAAAGATGGTTATAATGCCTGGCCCTCTGATGCTGGGTCCTGTGCTCAGTGAGGGGGAATCAAAGTTGGTTTTGAGAAATTCCCCTACTAGCATTGTATTTAGTTGTGACAGGAGAGTAATTCCAGAACTCATTGCCTAAGCTTTTCTAATGGGAGGCTTTGCTTGTCATTTGAATCTTGACTGTCTCAGGGTGGAAAGAAAGGTTGGAGGTAAGCAGCATCCTGCCAAACCCCCTCCCACTAGCCTGAGGCTGGCATCTCATCTCTGCGCTTTCCTGCCTTTGTCCATTCAGATCTGCTTCCTCATGTCACCTTTGTGTGCCTCTCACAGCCTTCCAATAAATTCCTTTTTGCTTAACTTTACTTGAGTTATTAGTTTCTGTTACTTACACCAAGGACCTTTGCCTCAGGAAATTTATAGATTAGAAGGGGAAACACATTGCCCAGAAAACAACGGAAATACCAAATGCAGAGCAAAGTAGCGTAGCCGAGATAGGACAGGCTGGAGGGCAGCAAACTTGTTTATAAAAGACCAGAGAGTAGATATTTCAGTCTTGTGGCCATACAGTCTCTGCTGCACTGACTGTCTTCATAGCACAGCAACAGCCATGGATGGGATGTTAACCAGCAGGAGCAGCTGTTCCAATAAAACTAGTTACAGATACAGGCAGCCATTGTTCGCCCGCTCCAGGAATAGGCTGCCGTGTATATTTAGAGAAAGAATGGAGGCAGTCTGTGTATCTACCGTGGCTCTCGGCCAAGGCCAGAGTTTCAAGTTTCAAGATCCTTTTGCCTAAATATTGACTGACTGGCATTCTTTCTGACCATTCTTCCCTTGCAGAAGCAAAACCGGCCCCAGAAATATTTGAAAATGAAGTCATGGCACTGCTGAGAGACTTTGCTAAAAACAAAAACAAGGAGCAGAGGCTGCGCGCCCCAGATCTTGAATACCTCTTTGAAAAGCCACGTTGAGCTGCGCGCCACTACCTGCCGAGGGGGCTCAGTCCACAGACCCTAACTGCTTATGATGGATACTGGCTTCAACTTCCTGCTTTTCCTTAGACACTCAGCTCACCGGACCCTTCGTCCTGCCCCCAGTGATGAACCCACCTCTCTTCCAGGATATACAAACATTCAGTGTCTCATTCTAACACTTTTTATTCAGTTCCAGGCCTCAAAAGTGGTTTAGAAGTGGGAGGGGTTCCTCTAGCAACCCAGCTGTGTGTGAAATTGCCTTTAAAATTAAGATTCACCTACAGCCAACAGTGCTGAATTTACTTTCACTAGTTTTTCTGAAATAAAGTAGTTAAAAAGAAGCAGATTTTGTGTTACTTCATTTTACCTGTAAAAAACTGATTAAAGAAAAACTGCAATATTAATAGTTTTTGTGATTTCTCCTTCTACTTAAAAATTCTACATGCCCAATAACTACTTTGAAAATTAGCTAATTTAAAATATTTTTGAAAAGAAAAAACCGATTTGTCAGTGTCGCCGGCCGTCAGGCCCGTCTGGACTCTGGCCGGCCTCTGCCACAGGAGGGCACTGTGGGGAAGCAGATGTGTTCTCACTCAGCTTCCGCCAGAGGTGCTCGGCAAAGAGGCAAACACATGCACAGCACGTTAGAATGGATTAGTTGAAAGTGTTTAGCTCCAGGGCCCGAAGACTTTCACCTTGCCGGGAGTGGCCTCATTAGAGGGCCCTTGCCCTTGGGACTGTGGTCCTGTCAGGATGGTCGTCACCAAGCCCGGGCCAGCACCATCTAATGCTGTGGCCTTAGGAAGGCAGCCAGAACTGATGAGCAGATGGTTGGCGGCCACAAGAGCTGTGTGCGGGAGGAAGTACACGTTTCCAGCATTGTAGAGCCCCGGGTTCCCCTGGAGCCTCCTCAGGGTCCTGCCTGTTCCTCATTTCCCCTGACAAAGGGACGAGAACCCGCTTCATTCCCATGATCTCATCAAGGCCTTGCAACGCTCCTCCCGACGAGTGGCTCCTGCCTGTCTTGTAGACGAGAAGGGGGTCTCAGAGGAATCTGTCCAAGGTCAAGTAGCTATTCAGTCAGAAAGCCAGAATCTCATTTAGTCCAGCCTGCCTCCAAGACTCGTGAACTTCCTACTAGAACACACTGCCTCACTGTGGACGCTTAGTAGGCATCTATGCTCTGGAAAATTGTAGCAAAGAAACAACAGTTCTGAGGTGTGACCCGTGTGTCACAGAGGGGGCAGCTTCTGGTTACAAGTTCAAATCCTGGTTCCGCCGCTTGCTGGATAAAGGAGTTGGTCTGAGCCTTGGTTTCCTCATCTATAAATTGGGGATGGTGATGCTCCCTGTCGTAACCAGTGGTGAAGATCCCGGTAAGAAAGGGACACAGCGTGCAAAGGTCTTGCGTGATCTCCCTCGCACAGTAAGTTCTCAGTAGGTATTAGGTGTCAGCATTTGGTCATGGCCTCAGCCTGAGACTTAAGAGCTGGCTCCCAACATTGCCTGGCGTGTCAGGAAGGTCATCAGAGCTGTGTACAGGGCAGTCATCAGCAGATAGAAAGCCAAGCCTATTAAAGAATCATGGGTGTCTTACCAGCCAGTGAAGCCTGGAGAGAAAACAGACCCTGGTGACAAGACCTTTGATGGAAAAATCTGTGGCTCTCACCTAAGCAAGGAGTGGGCATGAGATTTAGAAGGCAGACCAGGGCAGACGGGAAGATAGATGTCACCCTGTGAGCTTCCCACAGACTCTGGCCATTCTCTCTGCCTCATTTGCTGTACTGTGGGGAGAAAGTTAAACAGGCAGAGTTTATACAGAGATGTATCTGGACTGGAAGAAGTGCACACAGATTGGGCAGCAACTTGCCCATCTATCCTGGACACTGACGCAATAAACCCCGGTAGCCAAGTATGCACTTGGGGCTTTTTTCCCCTGGGGTTTGATCTCTCCTTACCCTGATTTTGTCTCATTTAACACACTGTCCAACTGCTGCCACTTTCACCTGGGAATGGCACGCTGCTAAAGGAATTGTTTTCCTCCCAGGCTGCTGGCTTGTGTCATCTCTGAAGGGGAAGGATCTTGCAAACTTCAGCTGCTCAGTGTCAGACCCAGGGGTGCTATGTAAAGTTTTTCCCTTTATAGGCATTAAGTAAAACTAGGCCGGCCACAGTGCATTTAAAAAAAATTAACAAACATATAGCAAGGGCCAGCAGCCCCCAAGGGTCCGTGGTGAACAGAAGCTGGACTCATTCCTCTCAGTCTGACGCATGGCTGCTTGCTGACCCCATTCCCAGCCTGCGCCGGCCGATGAGCATCTGGCCCTGCCCCGACCCATCTGAAGTGGTCTCACGAGTCCTATCTCCAGGCTCCTGCTCAACACATCAAACTGAGTCAGTAAAGGCTCTTCTCTTCCCATCGTTTTCTCACTGAATCATTTTAAGTCTTTAAAATCCATAAGCCAAACACCTTTGGCCCGAGCTCTGTGCCTCAGATGGAGCAAATCTTTCCCGGGTCATTGGGGAGGCATCTCTTGCTGGCTTTGGGCTTTATCTGGAGGTCATCTCGTCTGTGTCTTTAGCTCCAGCCAGGATGGCACCGGCACAAACCTGGCTCTTATTGAAATATCACCAGGGAAAAAGATTCACATTTATCCTTCAGTCCATCTGCTGCTACTGTGGCTAGACAGGGAGATGCGACGATACAGACGCTCGAGCGGCCTTAAATGGCAAGCAGGTCTGGGAGACTTGGAGCTGACAGCCCCCTTATTAGTACAGCCGGTCGAGTCTGGGTATGGTGGACCTGCTGTCCTGTGGCTGTCAAGCTGATGAGCTGCTAGTTAAGCCACCTTGTGACACCTGTTTCCCAGTGAACCCTCTGAGTAGTGTAAGACTCTTCCCCAGTCAGGCAAAATGACATCGGTGGGACAAGTGGCCTGAGGCAAGTAGTGCTCTTTTGGCTTTAAGAAACATCTGTTAGCAGTCAGACATTTCAGAGGGATGGTAAGAAAGGTGAAGTGCCCGAGACAGCATCAGTCTTCCAAAAAGATGTGGGTGGAGAAATCTACCGCCTTGTAACCTGAAACTACAAAAGGAGAATTCATGTCTGTTGCTGGGTCCCAGCTCTCACCAGAATCCAGACACTCCTGCCAAGGAGAGGAGTGTTCTCTTTAAAAAGGGCAATGGGACCTGGCCGGTGCGGCGCAGTCCTTAGAGCATCGGCCTGTGCACCGAAGGGTTGCAGGTGCAATTCCCGGCCAAGGGCATACACCTGGGTTGCAGGTTTGATTCCCGGCCCCAGTGAGGGCGTGTTCAGGAGGCAACCAATCGAGGTGTCTCACATCTGATGTTTCTCTCTCTCTGTCTCCCCCTCCCTCCCTCCCTTCCACTCTCTAAAAATCAGTGGAAAAAATATCCTCAGGTGAGGATTAGAAAATAATAATGAAATAAAATAGAAATTAAAAAAATAAAAAGGGTAATGAGCCCTGCCCGGGGAGCTCAGTTGGTTAGGGCGTCATCCAGATACCCCAAGGTTGCAGGTTCGATCAGGGCACATACAAGAATCAGCCAATCAATGTTTCTCTCTCTCCCCCACTTCTCCTCTCTCCCTAAAAATCGATTTTTAAAAGGACAGTGGCAACGCGTTCTATGTAACTACACATCACAGTGTGTCGTTTTAAAAAGCTAATTATACTTTAAGATGTACCTTTTATTTCCCAGTGGATTTCGGCGTAGTTAGTATGTAATGAGATGTTCACATTTGGTGTTGTCCTGGCTCACGTGTGGGAAATGGAGCAGACAGTTAAGGGCCACTGCTTGGGAATCAGACCTAAGTCGGAATCCTGGCTCTACCATCTGTCAGCTGGCTGACCTTGGCACGTTATTTAATCTCTCCGAGCTTCTGTCTCATCTGCGAAAAGGCAAGAGAAAGGGCCTCACCTCCTGTGTGGGCATAAGGACTAGATGAAGTCACGCATGGAAGGTGCTTAGTACGTACCTGACACCCTGTTAACACTCAATAGAAATAACAGCTGTGGTATTGTCAGCTAATGGTGTGCCCAGTGCTGCTAAGAGCGTTACGCAGATAGTCATTCATTGCCCACAACAGCAACATGAGACAGATGCGGAAAGTGAGGCCTGGTGAGGTGAAGCTTGCTCCCAGTCGGAGGCTGGCTCTGAGAGTCGGGTGCAGCTGGTTGGGGAGGCCATGTGACCCCCATTCCAGGGTCCCAAGATGAGTTGCCCGACCTCCATCGCACCCACTGGCTCCAGTACTGTATCCGGACGAGCCAGTGCTGGTTCCTCCTAAGGCCAGAGGCTCTGATGCTAGGCCCCTGGGAACAGGACCCTTGTTTCCCTCTTGCTCAGACCTCCTCAGCAGAGTCACCCAGAGGGGTGAAGGTTTTAGTAGATGTTGCGTAGATACTGTGTTTCTAGCACAAGTAGAAACAGGCGGCCTGCTTGGTGCAAACAGGAAGAGTGATGCTCAGCAACCTAATTTGAAAGACACACTCTCATGGGCTTCACTAGGGGCTGGGATCGGAGAGGAATGTGTCTTGTCTGTCCTTGAGGAATCCACTGTCGATTCTTTCACTCTTGATTTCATGACTCGCAAGCAGAGCTTACCCTGCTGCAGACGTCCAAGCCACATGCTCCAGACAGGGTGCCTACACAGAGGAAGGTCACCTAAACTCTTTCAAATGGTATGAATGAGACAGAAACCTTTACTGTATCAAGTCAGGGGCTTCATGCTTTACCCATTTCCTCGCCAACTTCTGTGCTCCAACTTCTACAAAGCTTTTCAAGCCCTCATCTGCTTCATGACCCCCTCCCGCCACAGGGCCTTTGCACATGCGGTTCTCTCTGCCCAGAGTGCTGTTTCCTCCCTTTCCCTCTTCACCCCCTCCTCTTCCAGATCTCAGCTCAAGGGCCACTTCCTCTGAGAAGCCTTCCCTAACCTTTCAACTTTAAATCTGTCTGGTGATTCTCTGATGACCGTTTGTCTCCCACTGGATTTTAAGTTCCACCAGGATTTGGACTAGACCTATTTTTGTTCACCTTTATATCCCTAGTGCCTGGCTTGGTACACAGAAAGCGTTTCTAATTATTTAAGAGATGAGTAAAAAGAAAAATCGACGTGTCAGTCTGATTGCAGATTTCAAAGCAAACTTTCCCACAGCGAGAGCTGTGGGTCTGCAGGAGTCAGAGGCCTCCTGGGCCTCCTGCTCTAAGATTCCCCCCCAACCCCTGTCTAGTTCCAAAGGTTCAGTGTGCCCGGAGGATTGGCCCTGAGCGTTGCAGGTGGCTGCATGCCCTCGGACCGGGGCGGAGGGCTTAATGAATTAGAGCCGCCTCTCGCACTGTGGAAACCGGAGACTCTTGGTTCTCTGCCCAGGCCTCTGGA